CCTACTTGTGGTCTCTGTCTGCCAAATAAATAAATAAAATCTTAAAAAAAAAAAAAAAAAAGAAAACACTGAGGAGAAGGAATTCATAAGCTTTACGAAGGAAAAACCTAAATGAGGGTAGATGGGCCAACTCAGTTTTCCTCGCCTCCCTATCCATCGTTTTCATTTCCATATCCTCGCTTATGCCAAACGCTATGGCAGAGGTCTGTACTGGAGGCTTTGGGAACAGCAGGAGAGTATGCCAGCGCCTAAAAGAAGACGGCTGAGGAAAGGAAAAACACTCATGGAAACTCACGAGAGGGATGAAGTCTGCGCAGTCAGGAAAGTTGAGTAGGAGTCTGTCTCGAGCACAAGAGGGAAGAGAAAGCCAGGCAAACTGGTCAAGGGATGTATGGGCATCAAGACTTCCGTGTGCCAGAGTGGCCACGAATCAGGCTGCAGAGGTCAAGGGGACCGAAGCATGAACGACCTTGTGTGCCATGCCAGGAGGTGGAACCACTGAATGACCAAGCAATTAGGTTGCAGTTTCTGTTTCAAAGACACCACTCTGCTGTAATACAGACTCAACTGGAAGAGGAATAAGGACTGACCGTGTGACAAGTCAGGAGGCTGCTGGAAGGGCAGGCCAGAACCAGAAAATGTTGTAGGGGGTGGGGGGTAGCTGCTACTCTTAGCAATGGATGCCAGAAGAGAGGAGAGCAGATTCAAGAGACAGTTGACAAGTTAGGCTTTGGAAATCAGGACAAAGAGAAAAGCAAATAACTCCCAAGTTCCCAGCTTCGAAAGCTGAATGGATACGGGTATGATTCCCCAAGATAAGGAATGCCAGAAGAGAATTCGATTTGGGAGGTGTAGGGGGTCTATTTTGGACATGGGTAGGGTGCTGCAATGTGGGACATCCAAGTAGAAGTCAAATAAAAGTGCAGAAAGAAATGCGGGCTGACTAATGAAGATATAAAATTGGCCCTCGGTGGCATACTAGTGACAGTTCCAAGAGAGATCTGGATGAGATGACCCAGAGAGAGAAGAGCAAGGGGATAAGGACACAGTCTTGAACGACACTAACATTTAAGTGGCAGGTGAAGCGTGGGACGCCAGCTGAGGAAACGAAGCAGAAGCTGTCCTCCAAGAATGAAATCAACCAGAAGGCAATTTCCAGGTTAAAGGACTCCTCCTCTTTCCCCAGGCAGCTGTGATAAAACCCCTAGCTTTCTAAGAGCAGAAGGGAATATCTTCCCAACTAGAAGTATCTGCCTGAGCACCATTTAGGGTGCTCAGCAAATCAGTGTCCACCATAGTTATATAACTGTGAGTACATGCTAAAAATTCGTTAAGGTATTACACTGAACGGATTAAATGGCACGCCGCAACGGGAGTGTCCAGCGGACCCAATACTTTCCTCTGAAGACAGGGATGGAGAGGATCTCGCTGTGAAGCCCCCCCCCAACCCCCGCCCCTTAAAGAAGCCAACTTCATGCAACTGCTCAGGATTTGGTGTCAAGGGCTGATTCCTGGCCAGGGGTTGCCAGCTGCAGAGGGCGGGGCTCTATTTTGGGCTGCCTGCTATCCCTGAGCCTGGCCGCGTCTGGTTTGAGCAGCACGCAGCCCCAGTGACTCACACACCCAGGCCAACCGCCTGTGGCTCAGTGGCATGGCCTCGGAATGCCAGCCTCAGGCCAGCTCCCTCCTCACCCCATTACACTGGGATAAATAAATAAAGAGCCTGCCAGCAGCCGCACAGCCTGATGGCAACCAGATGGAGAGGGGGAGGCGGGGACAGGGCTGGGGGAAGGAACTCCCTCCAGTGGACCAGAGTGAGAGAAGGCCACGCCAGCCTCATCCTCCTAAACTTTGCTCACGCAGTTCCTGGGCCATGTAGGAATTGTTCCCGAATCCTTGACTCATCTCCCACTCTGAACAGTGCCTCCCAGGCCCCAGTCCTAGGAGATGCTCTCTATGGGGATCTTCCCTCTATGAAGAGCACGCCAGCAGCCACTCCTCCCAGCTGACCCAAAGAACACTGCCAGGACGTCCCCTCCGGTCAGGCCACCATCGATGGGCCCCCTTGGGCTCCCTGGAAATGCGAAATCCAAGGCTGGGGGCGCGGAGGAGGAAAAACAAAAGAACCAAATATGAAGACATAACCCCTGGTCAACCCTTAAATATTTTTGCTGGCCTTAGTATCCTAGAAACCTCCCTGTCCTACTGCCCTCTGTGCCCTATCTCTGTGGCCTCTCCCCTAGAACCAGGAAAAACAGACCCCAGCACTGACCGTGAGGCCCCTCTGACATCAGCCCTGCGCCACCCCCCTGTCCCCCGCACCTTCGTCCCAGGCTTTCTGTCCCTGGTTTGTTTATCTTCCTATGTTGCTTATTTTGATGGCACATCCTTTCAGCTGTCTTGGGTGACCCCATGACCCTTCTGTGTCCTGTTTGTAGGACCCCAGACAAGCAGAGTCACTGAAAAGGTGCAGTGGCCATAAGAAATTCTGCAGTCCCATGAGGAAGCTGGTTCTGGCAGGTACACGGGACACTCCGTGATCCCGGAGGACGGTGCAGTGATCCTGTCCTTGCGAGACTGGGAGTACGCCACACTCTCCGAGCCCTTAACCCTCCTCTAACTGGTGTGCACGACCCATTAGAGTGGCAGAACAGGGATGATCCCTCCTCTTAAATGTCCAGCTATAGCAACATGACCTTAGGCAAGTCACCTACTCTGTCTGAGGCCCACCTTCTTCATCCAGGAAATGGAAAACTACAGCTACCTGTTTCTCAGATCCTTTGCAGATATATAGAATTCTGTAAGTCTCTGTGGTTTGGGTGTGGTCCACCCAGGGCTCAGAAGACCAGTATTCATGAAGTAATTGATTCCAAAACACCAATAGGCCTCCTGGATTGCCCCGAGCTTCTGCATGCTTTCTCATTCCACAACTGCAGGGTTGTGCCCTGCCCCCACTCCTGCCCCAAAAGCATGGAAGAGATGAGCTTCCAAATGGACAAATGAGAAAACAGAGGCTCTGGAAGCACTGATTCAACCAAAGCTACAAAATAAACCAGGAGAAGAACCCAAGACCCCAGATACAGAGGTCACAAGCAGCACTGTATCCACAGGCCACATTTCCCCAACTTTCATGAGATCCCCTCACCCACCGTTCCCAGCACACGTTTATCAACATCTTCTTTGACAGACTTATGGAGAACCTGCTACTCCTACGCACTGTGTTCGGCACTGGGTCATAGAAATGCATTCGACGCAGTCCTTGTCCCCAAATCGTTCAGAGATCAATGGAGGAGAAAGGCACAGTCTCACAGACATATAAACGGCAGAATCTATCACACAGTTATAAGTGGCAAAACAGAGGTAGGAACCAAGGTACGACAGCAGCAGGGAAGAAGGATTATCTTTACAGGGAGAGTCTGGAAAAGTCTCCCAAAGAAGTCAAAGCCCACACTTAAAAGACTAATAGAAATTTACAAGGTAGATAAGGCCAGGGCACTGGGTGTTATAGATAAAGGGAACAATGCATGCCAAGACATTAAGGCTAGAGGAAGGCATTCTGGCAATCCAAAGTCATTCTCTGTGACTTAAAGCATAAAGTTCATAATGAAAAATATCAAGAAACCAAGCTAGAGGGGTATTTGGGCACCGGATCAGGAAGGGACCTTCTGCTGGGCTAAGAATAAGCCTTGCATTGTTTAGCTAAGGGGCTGGGGCAGGGAATCAGCATGTCATCCCCAGCCTGTGTTAGCCTCCTTAATACGAACACTTGTAGACAGAGGAAGCTATCTGACAGAAAAATGGCCGAGGAAATCTCTCTGTGGCAAGTCTGGGTTTAATGGTCTCTCTTTCCCATAAAGACTTGAAATCTATTCTACTTCAAGAATGTAACAGTGAGAGCTTCTCTTCTTCTCCAGCGTTAGACTGCTTCAATAGATGGACTGAGCACTCAACTTGCCTTTTTGTTTTTAGTGTTAAGCCCCGAAGCATGATGGCGTCTTTGCTCAGCCAATGTACAGAGGCAGAACAGAAGGTTCCAAGTCAAGAACACCTGCTTTCTTCCTGTCTAGCCCTGGGAAAAATATGAGTTTCATGTTCAAAAGAAATATGAGTCACAACCCTTGTCCACAAGGGGTTTACAAAGTAGCCTAGATGGCAAGACAGAAATACGAATGATCTATACAGAACACGATATTATAATAGCATTATTTGCTTACATAGTGAAGCACCAACTTGGGTCACATGTATAATTAGAAAAAAGGGCAATAATGCTAAAGTACCAACTGTACAAGCAACAAGTCCTAAAAGAGTTAGAGAAGGAGAAGATCAATATTGACTGGTATTATCAAAGGTCACTATTATTAATACTCCCCCTGTTTGGCATTTAATAGATGTTTCTTTTGGCCAAGCTTAATCCTTAGAAGGGAAACCTAGGCAGGAGCTTCTGACAGGCCACAATTATCTACTCCCCATTCATTCCTTTGCCAGTCCCCTTGTATAAACACTGTGATTTTCCACAGCCTACTGTGCCCACAAGACAGTTCCCAAATGGCAACCCTGTGCTTTTCACCTTCCTCTGCTGCGGGATGTTGGAGGGGCCCAGACCAGTAATAATGATTAGCCGCCCCCCCCCGCCCCGCTCCATAATCCAGACCTGCAATCAGATCTTAACAAGCAAAAATGGATCAACTGGTCAACCAAACTTTCCAAGGTTAGGGAATTCTAAATGAAATTCCTAGGGTTGTGAACAGAGAGATGTTTTTACAAATGCTGACCAGCCCACTTCTGCCTTTTATATTCTTGCCCCTTATTTCACCCCATCTTCCCCACGGGCATCTCAAGTTTTATCAGATTTTCTATGGGCAACTTATCCAGAGAAAGGTTTTCCAACCATGCAAGCCACCTAACACCCAAAATGCAAGTCAGTACTCAGGCACCTAGAAAGAGAAAATAAAGCAAAACTGCGCGAAGGGAAAGGAAATCCTTATCGTGATATACTCTACCTCTACCATAAATTGTTCCAAGAAGGAATTTTCTTCAAATGGCTCTGTCTTCAACCGATCTGTAATAAGAAGGGATACAGAAAAGAAATATTAGTCTTAGGATGAGTTTCCTGCCTGTGAGAAGGAAAAGAAACAGAGCCCAAGATTTCTGGGGAGGGAACACACACATGTGCAACACCCAGAGTCCACTGGGAGAAGGGATGAAAGTATGTGAGCGAACAGGAGGCAGAGGAGAGGGCGATCAGCAACACAGGACGTGTCCAGTGGCGTGTACACTCTAGGCATTCTTCTTGCCACAAAGACGAAGGTCGAACTGAATTTTTATTCTGAAGCTGGAACTATGCTTTGGAAGGTCCCAAGTGTGTGTTGTCCTTCCCCCCACCCCAGTTTTATACAGCTGCTGGCCCTTTTCCAAGGTCTGTCCTTGCCATTGCCCAGGGCAGGGCTGGATGGGTTACAGCATCTATGGGTCACTTGGGTGCCAGTCAGGTCCTTGAGGCAGAGAGAAGTGTCACTGGCATCAAGTCTCCAGTTACGGTCAGGACCCAGCACCCCACTTCCTCAGGGAAGCACCCCTCTAATGCAGATGACTCTCTGCTTTCCTGAGTCCCTTTGACCATCTGTCCCACTCCCCACCCAACACCCGCAAAGAATGCCCTCTCACCTCGGCTCAGCACAGCTCCACTCTCCTGGTAGTCCTGGATCTCTAGATCTTTCATACGAAGCATGGTTGCTAGCTCCCTCACTTGGCACTGCAAGGCCAGACTCATGCCCATGAGAGGACGAATCAGATGCTGGGAGACCTTTCATGCAAGAGATATCAATCAGCCAACAGGCATGGAGTACTCCCCACTGTCTTAGGAACTAGAAAAATACTGCAAAATAAATGTTTTCACAGGAACTTAACATTTCATAAGCAAGCAACCCATTGGCATGACTGTAATAATACAATAACAAAATAGGTAGGTGAAAAGAAGTTCAAGGGTTTTCTTTGTAGCCTAGATAAAAGGGTGGGAAGAATAGAGGAGAACATGTGGAGAGGCAGCCTGGGGTAGTGATTTTAAAAGGTTGGTAAGAGAAAGGTATTGCTTCAACTCTCCACAGAGACTGAGAGACAAAAGCAGAAGATCCAAGTAGAACTTTAGGAAAGTAGGCGTGGCTAAAACAGAGTGTGCTAGCTGGAGCATAACAGAAGACAAAAAGCAACAGACAGTAGAGAGCCTTGGAATCTGTCTCAGATTAGACCCAGACACTGATTACGAGCCATTTCAGGGCTGACGATAGCCCAGAATGAGCCCAGAGTTTCACTCTGCTCCCAGGAAGGCCACAAAGTCTGAGATCATCATGACAGAAACCAGCCAGTCCCCGAGAGGCCAGCCTAGAAAGGAAGAAACTCGCCAGCACACCTTGCTCTTAGGTGTCTTTCAAGGTAAGAAGGACACAAGCATGAGCATACCGTTGTGCCACTGGGACTGTCCTCACGTAACAACGTATAACTATAGAGAATAATCACTTAATCCACCCGCACAAGGTGTCCACTAGCCTGAGAAAGAAAAAAGCCTTAGCCAAAGAAAGTAACTAGAATCATTAATCTCTTTGTGACTAGTAGAGGCTCTGGGGGTCCCTTTCCCTTCCCCCAAAGAGATGAGCCCAAGGAGGCACCAGAAGAAATGCCCTAGATCAGAGGTCAGCAACTCATTCCGTGTGGGCCAGGGGTCAATATTTTCAGCTCCAGGGCCCATACAGGCCGCCACAGTGCTCAGCTCCACTGCTGCAGCAGGAAAGCGACCACAGACAACATGTAATACATGAGGGTGGTGGGTTTCCAATGGAACTTTAGAAAAACAGGCAGCAAGCCAGAGTTGGCCCACTGGCCATCGTCAGCCCACCCCCCAGGCTTCTCTAAGGACAGAGCACAAGAGAAGAGATTGGGGGAGGTGGGGGTGGTAAGGGTTAGAGCCCGCAGCTTCTGCACCACTACCAGGACCCGACCAATGCAGGGGTACTGATGCAGAGTAGAAGACCGGAAGTCAAATGTAGCTGTAAATATCCGTCACTTCTTGCCATCATGCTGCACACCCAAGCTGGCCCTGGTCCTCAGTTCAGATCCCTAGGATAAGCAGGAAGTACTGCTCAAAATGAGACCAAAGATCTGCTTTGGGTACATTCACCTGCTCCAGACCCAACCCTCTTTCCTAAGAATTGTTTGATTGGGTTTGGTCCCATCTGGGGGAGATCAGGAGGAGAAACAGGGAACTCCTCCGATGAAAGCAAGTCAGTTTTGGAGTGGGGAGCTGAAAGTAATCACAGTTGGTAACCAAGCAGCATCACCTTCCCTCTGGTGACAGCCCTCAAATAACAGAAACTCCTTAAGGGGACAACCAGCCTCTCTCTGGGAGCCCACCTTAACAGCCATCTCTTTGAGTGGTGGTAAATCTGACCACATGAAACAGAATGACAAACAGTTATTAATCAATGTCATGTCTAATTAAATACGGTAAGGCCAGAAGTTATTTATCAGACTCCGATGTCTATATAGCCAAATAAATAAATAAATAAATAACAGTTAAATATTTCAACTTCTCAAATAATTTCATAGAATTGGTTACGTCACTCTGAATCACTGGGGTATAACTCATTTCAAAGTTAGATGCCCACTAACACACTAACTTAAATCAGAGATCAGTTAGTTCAGATAAGGCCTGTGGTTGAAATAATGGGTTTCAAAGCAAATCCACAGAAACTACAAGGAAAAATCTTGAAGCGCTTGGGGAGGTGAGGAAGATCCTCACCCTTCATTTAAAAACAATGATCTATGAAGGGTTGTGGTTTCACAAGTCAATTCAACAAATACCTACTGTCTGCCTAACACATACTGTGACCCCATGAGGCTTCTGCCCCCGAAGAGTTCACAACAGTTAAGGAGGTCAGGAAGTGTGATGGATAAGGAGGCAGGAGTTTCCAATCTTTTCCAGAGGAAATCTATTTATAACATCCCCCCACCTCTGCAGATTTCCCATTGAAACGTAGACAAGCCAGAGGCGGGAAACCCAAATGGCCTTAGCAATCCCAAGATTAATTCTATCAGGTTTGGATACAGCGACAAGGGCAACAGACTGGGAATTAGATCTAGATTCTAGCCCCAGCTCTGGGAGCACCCAGATGTGAAAATGGCTTAATCCCAAGCGCTCTCATGGTCCTTAGGTTTTTCAAGGAAAAATTAGGGAGTCAGAGTATTTGCTCTCAAAGGGCCACAATAATGCTAAATTAAGTAATACTATGTATGGTCTTATCTTTAATCTAAAAACTCAATTAAAATCAGCAGTAAGGTGAGGACTGGCATCTCCACTTTACAGATGATGAAGCCAAACCTCATAAAAATGCAATGACTTATCCAAGGTAACACAAATAGTCAAAGGGGTGGAGCTGAATGACAGATTCAGTCCTGCCGGCTCCAAAGCCTGTGGGCTCTTCCTGCCACAAAACAAACAAACAAACAAAACAAATAAAAACAAAACAAAACAAAACAAAAAAACCTGAGGCTGTGACTCCTAGAAATTATAAAATGGCCAAATTTGAAAGTCAAAATTTGGAATATCAAGAATTACATTAGAAAGGAAAGATAACAGCAATACCACCAAAGAAATGACATCTGCTACAAGGAAGAACAGTGAGGAGGAAGAAGGGACGAAGGAAGCTGGCTGGAAGTGGAAAAGGGCTAGAAAGCAGAGACCTGAGGCTTTAGCCATCCCATCCTGTCCCGCACAGCTTGAGAACTTAGCGTGAATCCACTGCCCGCTGTACTCTCCTACTCTCCTGCGTGACCGGTAGGAATTTACATGTGCAATCTCTCTGGAAGACAATCTGGCATTAGAGGACCAAGATTAAAGGTACAAATATTCCCTTTAATTTAAGTTTATTTATTTATCTATTTATTTATTTATTTTAAGATTTCATTTATTTATTTGACAGAGAGATCACCAGTAGGCAGAGAGGCAGGCAGAGAGAGAAGGAAGCAGGTTCCCAGCCGAGCAGAGAGCCCGATGTGGGACTCCATCCCAGGACCCTGAGATCATGACCTGAGCCGAAGGCAGAGGCTTAACCCACTGAGCCACCCAGGCACCATGAAGTTTATTTATTTATTTAAGCTATCTCTATAACAGATGTGAGGCTCAAACCCATGACCCCAAGATCAAAAGTCACATGTTCTTCTGACCCAGCCAGCCAGGTGCCCCCAAACATTCCTTGTTTCAGCTATTCCACTGCTGGGAATTGACTCGTACACTTCCTACACTTAGGAAGAGTAAATTACCAGGATAGTCACTATGTGTAATAACAAAAGAATGGAAACAACGTAGGTGTCTACTGGTAGCCTGTCAATTAAATACATGTTGATATATTCATCAAATAAAGCTCTCTGTTACCAGTGAAGAATATTAAGGCAGCTTTTCTAAATATGTTACGGTTTCTAAATTCTATAATTAAGTGAAAAAAGCAAGCTACTCAGCAGTGTGGATAGCATGTTGCCATTTATGAAAAGGCACAAGTCCACCCAGATAGGTATTCGATGGTATAAGTATATATACATACTTGTGTACATACGAACCTACTTACGGCTTTCTTTAAGAATGCACAAGAAGATGGTATCAGTAGTTGCTTTAAACAAGGAAAATGAGGGACTAGAGAGAAGAATAGAAGGACCTATTTTTTCACTCTAGACCCTTCTTCAATTCTATTTGAAATGTTTGCCTTTTGCATGAATTGCTCATTGAAAAAAAAATGAAATAAAAACTATCACAAGAATGAGTAACAAACAAAAATTAGGACTGTGTGACCTCACGGACACACACACAAGCCTGAAATAGTGTCTGCCTACATCCTTGACGGTGTCCGCTGGCTCTAACATTTTCCCTGTAAAGCTTCCTCAGCCTCAGGGGTTTCCCTGGGCTGGCATTCTTCTTTTTTTTTTAATAGTAAGTATTTTATTTTACCTTAAAGTCTAATTATTCACCAACTACCCAATGGTCACTTCTCCCCATGGCCAACCAGGACTCATTCCACTCCAAACACTGACGCTTCTTTTCTTATGGCGGGTTCCCAACTAGAGGAATTTGCCTAGAAGGGCTAGTTTTCCTTTTACATATCATTCTCAGTGACAACATCATCATACAAGTGTTCTTTACTTTATTATTTTGGGGGCAAATAAAAAACTACTACAGCCCATCAGCCTCCTGGCAAAACTACATCCTCGGTCTCACTATTCTGAATTTCTAGGGCTGCGTGATGTAAAGTGAGACTAGCTGTGGCTAGGACGTCTAGGGCAGCGCAGAGGTGTCCCAGAACAAGCATTATTGAGGGAACAGCGCCCCCTGGTGTTACTTAGAAAAAGTGACAGGGTTTTTTGAGCAGAAGATGTAGACTAGCACAAGGATGGAAAATTTCACAAAAAACTCAATTAAAATCAACAGTTGGATGACTTTGGAGAGACTTCAGCCTCAGCTTCCTACTCTGGAAATGGAACAATACTACTTATTTTGCAGGACAGTCGTGAGGATTCAGTGACAAGAAATGTTCAGAAAGGTATCTAATGCTGGTGCATTATCCATCCTGTTGCTGTTAATAAACTATGTTAATAAACTATCAATGAACTATGAATTGTTAATAAACTATGAATTGAATCATGCTAAACCCCTGCTTAAAGTTTTTCAGTGAATCTCTGTTGCCTTTAGGATAAAATCCAAACTCATTAGAATCCCTCAAAATCTGGCCACTGCCTACCTTATTTCTCACAACTCCCTGCAGTCAGGAAATTCCCCCACTTGTCCCACACTTACACATCTCCCCACCTCTCAAAATGCACTCTAGCCTAGAATGACCTCTTGATCTTCTCCCAGTTAGTTCCTACTCATCTTCAAAACTCAGCTCAGAAACTATCTCTTCAATGGGGCTCCTGGGTGGCTCCGCTGGCTAAGCGTCTGACTCTTGATTTCAGCTCAGGTCGTGATCTCAGTGTTGTGAGACTCGAGCCCCATGTCGGGCTCCCTGTAGGGCACGGAGCCTGCTTAAGATTCATTCTCTCCCTCTCCTCCTCCCACCTCCTCTCTCCCCATCACTAAAAAACAAAACAAAAAAACCTCTCTTTTCAAGAAGGTTTTTCAGACCTTTAAGCATCCTGAGTTTACCTCAATCAAAGAATTTACCATATTTTGACCTATTCCCTGCCTGTCTTCTCACTAGATGATGAACTCTAGATATAGGCTATATTGTTTTAGATCTGGACACCCAACAATTAGCCCATAGTAGATGCTTCATAAATATTAAATAAAGTAATGAATAAAGACACCCAATAAAGCAGGTAAACCAAACCTTTGCCTGGTCCCTTTGCAAAGACAGGATGTACCAGTCAAGAATCCGTTTTGCCTTCTGTCTGGTCAAGGAAAGTTTTCTGGTTAAAGAAGAATGTCAAACTAAAAAAAATAAGAGCACCCAAAGAGTCACCTCAAAGCAGCTGGCATTCCCCTCCCCAACTCCACATTTGAATTACACTCACCAGGGAAGGGCTAGCTAGGATGCAGTAGAAATTCCAATAAAAGGGGAGACCTGAGAGCTCACTGCGCACCCGCAGTATCAGTGCCTCACCCACATGGTCACAGACAAAGCTAACTTTGCCGGGGCAAGCAGTGTCCTTCAACAACGGGCGGAGCAGCTCATCCAGATGACAGAGTAAAGCCGCAGGGGGGGCAGTCAGCCGCTTGTTCAGCTCCTAAAAAGACAACACGAGTTGGACAGAGTAAGGGTATAAAAAGGAAACCAACTTTCCCCTAAGTCCCAGCAAAGGAAAATCTGGCTAAAGTGAAGACAGTGGGCTTGAGAGGAAGGGAAGACAAAAACAGGGGAACAGGAAAGAAGAAAACAAAAACAGAGAGCAACTGGCCTACTTCACCATCCTACCCTGTACTGTATCCAGTGCAAAAATGAACACACAGACAATATGGAAAGATCCTGGGGGGGGGCACCTGAGTGGCTCAGATGGTTAAGCATCTGCCTTGGGTTCGGCTCATGATCCCAGGAACCTGGGACAGATTCTCTTATCGGGCTCGGACCTTGGATGGAATCCCTCATTGGGCTCCCTGCTCAGCGGGGAGTCTGCTTCTCCCTCTCCCCCTCCCCTCACTAGTTTTCTCTCTCTCTTCCTAATAAATAAAATCTTGAAAGAAAGAGAGAGAGAAAGAAAAAGAAAAAAGAGAGAGAGAGAGAGAAAGATAGATCTCAGGGCTTTAGGTAGAAGGGCAGGACATTGGAATTGTCTCAATATGATTCCTCATCCCTTGGCAACCTACAGGTCAGCAAGCTGGCTGATGTGAACATACCCTTGACCTTCACTAAGATAGAAATGATATCCACTACCTTCCCGCAGCAGAACTTCTCTTCGTGCTTACCTTGGCTCGTTGGCTGACCACACAAGCGTCTGCCTGTTCATGCCACACCTGCTGGAGATCTGAAACCAGCAAGGCATACCCCTGTCTGGTGATATACGCCTTGGCCAGGAGGGAGTTCTCAGCAAGTTGTAGCCGGGCCCACGGCTGCATCAGCAGGCCTTCCTCCAACTCCTCCATCTGCAGAAGAGTCTGGATTTAGGGAAGTACCCCAGGACACTATAGGCCTGGGGACGGTGGCCCCACACAAACAGTGCTACAGCAAATCAGCCTTGTGAAGGACTCTTCCCTAATAAGACAGAAGGTATACATTTACATCTTACCCCCCCACACACACACAACCTCCACCCTATATCTTTCTGCACATATAACCAGCCCACATATAACCTTACTATCTCCTGGTCACTAAAATCTAATTAGAGGGCGCCTGGGTGGCTCAGTGGGTTAAAGCCACTGCCTTCGGCTCAGGTCATGATCTCAGGGTCCTGGGATCGAGTCCCTCATTGGGCTCTCTGCTCAGCAGGGAGCCTACTTCCTCCTCTTTCTCTCTGCCTGCTGCTCTGCCTGTGATCTCTGTCAAATAAATAAATAAAATCTTTAACCAAAAAATAAATAAATAAATAAATAAAATCTAATTAGAATTTTATTTTATATTTCAAATTAAGTTCCTAAAGGGCATGAAAATACCTTTCTTCTGTAGTGTTTAAGCGTTGGCATGTTGGTCTCGGTATTTCTGCTTTCTAACAGGTGGGAACCTAAGTCATTCTTGTCTCTTTATCACATTCCTAATAAATACACCATGCTACCCTTTCCCAGAACTTCTAGAAAAGAAGGAATAGTTCTTGTCTTACAAAACATTGTAAGTCATAGTGTCATGAGCAGGAAATTCAAATTATTTTATCATTATCTAGAAATGAAACTCTAGGTCTCAGATTTTCAAATACATATATATAATATACATATATTATGTAATAATATATAACAATGTATAATAATATATAATGTTATATATAGTTATTACGTAATAATTATATAATATATAATATAGATATCTAAATATTTATATATACACAGATACGTACATTCCCAAAGACAGGGATTCTTAATCTAGAGTCTATGCATGTGAACACTCTGGAATTATAGGCAAAATCTATGCATACATGCAGATAACCATTTGGGAGGAAGAGGCCCCCAAATTTGTCAAATTCTCAAAGGGATCAATGACACACAAATAAAGAGCTAACAAACTCTATGTCCAGAAGCAAACCAAAAAACCCCAAATCCCATTTCAAGAACCTGGATGACTAAAAACATAAAAACAAGGCACACCATTTCCCAGAGATGGAAACAATTAATTAACTTCTGCTTCACTCGTCCCCCATACACCCCTAACCCCAGGTACTGCCCTCAATGACATCACACCCTAGAACTTCTGGAAACCAACTCTTCTGGTTCAACAACTAAAGTTGTAGTCTTAATCTAGTAGATGTTCAGTAACTATGGCTACCGTACAGGAAATTCAATCATTTTTCCTGTTGGCGGGGAGTGATACAACTTCTTCACTACTTCAGTCTATAAATACAAAGTGAAGTGAGGGGAGTGCCTTAGAATATAAAGAAAATAGTGAAATTTCTAGGATTTCATTTGCATGATTAACACGGTTCTGTTCCTCCAGTCATTTCCATCACGGTCTAAGCCCTGGTTCCTCCAACCATAACTTAGCTTTTGATGCATGGTCTTGTAACAACACTTAATTTGTGCAGTCAATAGTTGGGTGAAAAGTAAATATATATTGTGATTTTTATTCGCAGCAGCCTCACAACCTTGCATTTGGAGGATGGGACATCAGTCCCTTGCCACGTGCTGGTCCCACAGGGAGAGGATCTTGGAATGATTAAGCTCCCCCTCACTAGAGTTCCACGTTGCAAAAGGTCACAAATGCAAGTAAACAAGTGAAGCCGCCAAGCCCTTCTGTCCTCTGTAGGCGCTCAGCAGTACGTCTTGTAAGAGTGCCCCAAATTGGGTTGATTATCCTGGCCCATCGCTTCGGAAAGCCTGGGAGCTCGAAACTCTCAAACTGCATGATTGTTTTTTGTCCTGTTTGGGGCAGAAATTTAAAATGTGCTCAGGATCAGGCCCCATAGGAAGGTCTAAAACATTCAGCACCAGACCTGGTGTCGGCTGCTCCCACAAAGCGCGTCCTGTTGAGTCCAAGACCTCTGTATCTCATTTTTTCCCCCTTCAAGGCCGCCTTTAACTGTCACGTTAACTAGATTCGCCCGTTCGTTATTCCTCAATGAAGCGGGAGAGCGTCGAGGACCAGCAGGAGGTCGCCAGAGAACCCGGGTCTGCACGGAGTCCCGCCCCTCGGCAGAGCTCCTCTCTCGGCGCAGTTCCCCCATCATCCTGCAGAGGGCAGCAAGGCCCCAGCGACAGACTAGACTGGGCCACGCCCCGGCCCTCTGGTGGGGACCAACCCTCGCTCGCTTTACCGCAGCCCCACCCCAGAAGCCCCGCCTGGCGGCGTAGTTTCCATCCGGCCTCGTTGCGAGGGGCTTCGCCGTCGGCCTTCGACAGCACCGGCCACACCGAGACGGCTCCGGGGCCCTCGAGAGTAACAAAGCGGACCACCAGTCCCTTTGCAGAAGCGAGGAGCCCACCACCAAGCAGCTTCACAAACCCCGCCTCGCCGCCGGAAGGCGGGCTGCGCACGCGCGGCGCACGCGCCCCGCCCACCCCCGGAGGTCTGCAGCGGCTCTCAGGCCCAGCGCAAGTCCCCGCCTGCCCGCCCGCGCGCAGGGCCCCCGGGGTCCCTCACCGCCCGGCGCCGGGCCGAGTCCCGGCCCCGGTTCGAAACCCGCTCCACCTACCGTGAGGGGCTGCGAGAGCTCCAGCCCTCCCCGCGGCGGGCTGGCCCGCGCAAACCGAAAGGCCTAGGGTAGAGGCCTTTCGGGACAGAGGGGCGGGGCCCGGGCCCGACGTGGGCGGGGCATCTGGGACCTCGGAGCTGTCGGACCGACCTCTTAGAGCTGGGGGTCCGCCGCGCCCTGGGGGAGCGGGAACAGGGCTGGGCGACCCGCTGCTATAGGACATGAGGTGGTGGTGGGCGCCCCTCGAAGTCACGCTGGCGGAGTAAAAAGAATGCCAGAGGAGGTGCAGGAGAGGGGTGTCTGGATTTGGACTTGGCAGTAAACTAAGATCACTTCCCTCCCCTACTTGTCCAACCGCTTGTTTTGTTTTAAATCTAATGAGGGGCGCCTGCCTAGTTCCGTCGGTTAGGCGACCGCCTTCAGCTCAGGTCACGATCTGAGGTTCCTGGGATCCAGCCCCGCGGATCCCTGCTCAGCAGGGAGTCTGCTTCTCCCTCTCCCTCTGCCCCTCCCCCCACCATAAATAGATCGATCGACGGATAGATATTTTAAAAATAAATAAAATAAGGAGGTTGAACTTCACTAGATAATCTCTCTGGTCCTCACCAGCGCTCGAACCGTTTCAGAGAGGATCCTTCTTAAATGCATAAATCCCATCTTCTGACCTCATCCTTTCTCCTGTCTTCATTTCTCCTTCCTTTTAGCCCCATATTTATGCTCCATCACCACGGAAAAACTTGAAATCCCTCAACTCATTTTCTGCTTTGCACAATTTATGGTTTTGCTCCAACTGGATACCTGAGCTTGAAATACTCTCCCCGCCCACTTGACACGAGCAAAAATCCTCCTCCCGTCAAGGCCTCCCTTGGTGCTGCTTTTTTCAGAAAGCCTGTGTTTGCCTCTATCCACAATCAGAATTAATTTTTTCTTCCTTTTGGCTTCCATAACATTGTTTTAATCTTTATTACAGGCCGCCTTTACCTTAGATTTTAGTTAGTAATTACATAGGTCTTTATAATGATAGGTTCCTTAAGAGGGCAGGGACCCTATGTTATCCGCATCTGTAGTTCCAGAACCTTGCACATGGAAGGCCTTCAATAAATATTTGTTAAGTGAATGCTGGGGTTTGACCATAGATAGTTCAGATGCAGAATCTCATTCATTCTATCACAGCCCACTAAACCGTGGCCCTTGCCTGGAACGTGGAACAGTTAGGCCTAACTAATTTTTGTTGTTGTTGTTAGGCCTAATTAAGAAAAGGAAAGGCAACACACCTATTGGGAAATGAGACCTTTAGGTGGGCCCATTTCTCATACACACACACACATGCGCAAACACACACCTTCTTCTTAGGAGAAATTAGAACTTGGGAGCTGACTCTCCAGCAAGCTGGGAGATACGGTAAACTAACCAGGGAAGGAGTAGGACTCCCGGTAATCACTGGGACCCAAGTTCTCTGCTAGACTCAGGACACTGCTCCGCAAAGCCAGGCAACAAATCAGCTGTCTCTCCTGGCTCAGAGGGCCCTCCTTCCTCATTCCCATGGTCTTCAGGCAGCGGGCAGAGGCAATGGAGGGGCTGGGGGATACAGATACGCAAGTTTTGGGTGGGGAAAGGAAGCTCATACTCTTTGGCAGCCTTCTCTCTGGACTTCTGAGGCAGCTGAGCCTCTTGGGCAGTGAAAGAAGATTGCAGCCCTTGACCTAGGCCTCGCTCAAGCCTTGTGCCTGCAAAAGAAAGGTTTGTCAGGCTATTGACCTACCCAGGAAGTGAGAACATCCTGGCTCCTCCCCGCTGTGCTGGGGCCTGGCCTCAACTTACCAGGAATGGTGTTCTCTAAAAGGAAGCCCAAGAATCCTGCCAGGAAGATGGGCTCTGTGAGCACCGAGCGCAGTAACACATCCAAGGGGCTCCAGCCTATAGAGGGTTGGGGCCAGGCAGGAAGGGAACTCTGATCCTATGCAGGGTCAATGAGTCTTATATTCCTAGACCTAAGTCTAAGTCTTGGGCTAAGGACAGGTCTTTCTGAACTGTTATCCCATCTTCCTTCACCTTTGTCCCCCTATTCTCTATTTCCCCCCCCCAGGCCCTTCCCACAAGTTCCCAGTCCATCATCCTGTATTCTGAGTATCCACATGCCCTCCAGATAGATCCAGGCTCTCAAAAGTTTGGTATTAGAAGCCCCAGCCATTGGGGTGCTGGGGTGGTTCAGTTGTTTAAGTGGCCGACTCTTAGTTTCAGCTCAAGTCATGATCTCAGGGTCCTGGGATCAAGCCCTCATCAGGCTCCCTGCTCAATGGGGAGTCTGCTTGAGGAATCTCTCTCTTTCTCTCTCTCCCCCTCTGCCCCTCCCCACACTAGTACCCTCTCTCTCTAAAAGAAAAATAAATCTTTAAAATAAATAAATAGATAAATAAAAGCCCCAACCTTACTTTCCGCTTTTTTTTTTTTTTAAGATTTTATTTATTTGAGAGAGAGATTGCACACAAGCAGGCAGAGGGGCAGAGGGAGAGGAAGAAACAGACTTGCTGCTGAGCAGGGAGCCCAATGTGGGGCTCGATCCCAGGGTACTGGGACTGTGACTTGAGCCAAAGGCAGACACTTAACCGACTGAGCCACCCAGGAGCTCCTTACTTCCCACTTCTTACCTTCTATGCTCTAGCCTGGTTTTCTGAACCTCAGTACTACTGACATTTTGGACCAGATAATTCTTTGTTTGAGAGGGCCTGTCCTGTGCCTTGTGGGATATTTAGCAGAACCCCTCTAGCCACTAAATACCAATAACAATCCCCTCTTCTGTTTGTAAGAACCAAAAATGTCTCTGGATTTTGCTGAATATTCCCTGTGGGGCAAAATCCTCCTCAGTTGAGTGCCACTGCTATTGGCTAGGTTGCACTAACAAACTGAGGTATTTGCTGCTCCCCGGAAATACCCTAGGACTTCCTACTTCTAAGTCGTTGTTTATGATGGTTCCCCCACCGGAAATGAGCTTCCTCTCACTAAATATGTTCAAGTCAAACCAGCTCAATGTTACTTTCTCCATAAAATTTAAGTCGGATCATCTCAAACAGAAACTCTCTCTCTTGCTGCCAAGCAACCCAGCTCCTTATCTGAACCTTTCCTGTTACGTCTTCTTTCTTTCACTGGACTGGAACATCTGGAGGCACCTTGTATCCTAAGGGGGTCGTCCGGTGCTCAATAAATATTTGTTAAATGAATGGATGAACTATTTATGCCAAAGCCCAGAAAAGGGTGTGGGACCTGGAGTCTGGAGAGTTCCAAGCCTCCAGTTCTTGCTTTCCCAATCCCGTCCAACTCCCCTTCCCATCTGTCTCCTTTCTCCCACCTGTGCTCAGTAGGACCGGGGCCTCTCGAAGCCATCTTGGCAGCAGCAGGGCCATGAAGATGGAAAAGCCAACAATGAAGACATTCCGCCCAGAGTCAATGTCAGCCAGGTGGAAGCTGGAGAATCCAGCAGACAGAACCACGGCCTGGGTCACCCCAAGGACCCCACCTGTCTCGTAGGGAAGTAGTTAAGGGGGTTGGGAAGGGCTGGAATAGCAGAGAGGATTGCAGGGTGGGGCAGGTGGTGATGGAGATGGACGACCAAAAGGCTCATTTTCCAATGATGCCAGAAGCCCGGTCAAGAGGTCAAGATGTTGGGCGGGGGGAAATGAGGGCAGCGGACACACACAGCTATCAATATGTCAGGGGATGCTGTTCGGAAAGAGAGGTGGCCAGCCACACCCAGCCAGTTGGGCTGTCCTAGGGGCGGGGTGAGTGCTGATTCAATACCAGGCCTGCTGATACATCCACTCACCAAGCACAGGCAGTGGGATGGCGGTGAGGAGCTGGGCCAGTCTCGGGGAGAGCCCAAGCCCCATGCAGAACAGCCCCACCAAGTACACCACTCTTCGAGAGCCAGCCTAGGTGAAGAAGAGATGCCAGAAAACACCACCTCTTCCTCGACTCTCCAAGGGTTTTGCCCAGCTGGTGCATTCTCATCATTTGGATCCCAACTCAAACATGACCCTCCCAAGAAGCACTCTACCTGAAGGCTTCTCCTTTTCTCAACCACTATCCCACTACTACCCTGCTTTGCTTTCTTTTTCTTTTTAAAATATTTTATTTTTAACTTTTATCTGCTTTGTTTTCTTGATAGGACTTATCACTCTGGAATTATCTTACTTTTTCCTTTTTTTCTTTTTAAGATTTTATGTATTTATTTGTCAGAAAGAGAGAGAGAGAGAGAGAGTACAAGCAGGGGGAGCAGCAGGCAGAGAGAAAAGCAGACTCTTCGCTGAACAGGGAGCCTGATGCTGGACTCAGTCCCAGGACCCTGGGACCAAGACCTGAGCTGAAGACAGACGCTTAACCAAGATAGGGAGCCACCCAGGCATCCCTATATTACTCTGTTCCTTAAATTGTCTGCCTCTCCCCCTCTGAAGTACCCAAGAGATCAGGGACTTTATATGACTTGATCTTGCCAGACTCCCAGCCTGAGTACAGTGCCTGAGGCATAGAAGGAATTTGGTGGTGACTTAGTGTCTTCCTCCCACTCCTAGCCCCTTACCACTTCTAGGCACCTCCCTAAATGAGATCATTGATACGGAGTTCCTGACAGAACACTGGACACAGATGGCAACCAGTCAGTGTGAGTCTCCTCCCCTCGCCCACACCTCCAGCTCCCCCACCCCCACCCCCACCCACTTACCTGGATAAGACTCACTGTGCCCACGTTGGGGAAGCTGGAGGCAGTGCCCATAGGGCTCCCCAACAGCCCAGCCAGCACGCTGCCCAGACCCTCCAGGCTCAGCCCGCGACTGCAGGCATGTGGAGGTGGGGATGGCAACTGCAGCAGTCGGCCACACAGGGCATAGCAGCCCAGGGAGCTGGCAGAGGCTGCCAAAGCCATGGAGATGCCCGCAGCCAGAGCCCTGGGTGTCAGCAAGGGCCAGTCCCACTCAGCTGGGGAGGGAGAGAGAGCCACCTTGGGGCCAGACTCAAGTCTGGAGCATCCCCCTGCCTCCAAAGCTCTGTGCCGCAAGAGTCCTCGAGAGCCCATTGTTTTTTAAGATAATGTCTTGGGACAAAACCAACAACCTCAGGATAAAGACTCATCCCTTTGCCACGGTCTACAAAGCTTCAAAGCTTCATTGCTCACGGCAATCTGCTTCACTTCCTTCACTCCAGATACGCTGGCCTTGTTTCAGGCCCTTGAACTTGCTGTGTGGCTGGCTACCACAGGGCCTTTGCATTCTCCCTACCTAGAATGCTCTTCTCCCTTGCCTTCACCCTGTTGGCTGCTACTCATCTCTCACATCTCAGCTCAAAGATCACTTCCTCAAGAATATTTTTCCTGATCTGTCCGATAAAGTCAGATTCTCCATTATAAGCTGTCATTACACAACCTACCTCCCCACTGTGACACATACCACATGCAATTTCACACTTGCTTTGATGACTAATTAGTATCTGCATTCCCCAGCAGACAGAGCTTCATAAGTATAGGTACTGTATCTGTTATATTCATCACCATGTTCCCTATCATATGTCCAGCACAAAATCAGCAATCAACAGACATGTATTAAGTTGACAAATGAATGACATTTGTGCACAATGCCTCAAAAGCAATATTTATACATAGGTCACTGACCCAAATGCCTGTGGAGGGTGGTGGTAACAAATGAATAAATTGGGCAATTGGGTATCAAAAGGGAGTGGTGGGCTTATAGATGTCTCTTAACACGCAACAAAACACCTGTGACGAGGGGCCAGCCCTGACCCTCGGACTGGCAACTCCTCTCCCCTGCGTGTTTTGAGAAAACACAGGATTTAACTCAAATGAAATTCACTCAATCGTGAGTCCGAAGAAATAGACCCTTTATTTGAGTCAGAGAGTGAAGGATGAAGAGGAAACCTACCTGGGTGAGGCAGCCAGACCCATGGCACCTCAGGGGAGGCAGACAGCTCCGGGGGGATGACGCGCAGACCCAGAAGGGCGGAGATGATCCACACACAGGCCGCTGGCATCAGCACCTGAGTGGCAAGACTGAGACAGGAAAGAGCCCCTCCACCCCGAACCTTCCAAGCCAGCCTTGGAGGGGCAGGCAGAAGCCACAGGTAGCAGGCTTAGTAAGCGTTCTATGCCAGTCCTTCTCTCATCAACTGCCCCTCCCCAGACCACCACATACCGAGAGGAGCCGGAAGACGGGAATGGGAGCTTGAGGGGAAGAGTTTGAAGCTGGCCTCCAGGGGCAGGGGGGTAACTGGCAGGAGGCCAGGTGCTGAGAACAGACCACTACAAGCAGGATAAGCCTAGGAGAGAGAAGGAGCTTCAGGAGCAAGAGGAAGCAAGCATCCTGTTGGGGGGGGGGTGGTAATGGAGGTAGGAGTGGTAGAATTCCCTTAAAGGGGTCCCAGAGAAGAGAGGAGGGAGGATACCTTGGTAGGGGGAGGAGGGGTCAGTGGGAGACCAAATTAATCCAGAAAAAGCTCAGGATTCTAAATCCATGAAGGATTGGCCCTGCTCAGACAGCTGCTGAGTTGGGGAGGAGGGTCAGCTGCTCTTCCCACCCCCAGGCCCACACAACCCACTGGTCACCACCCCATGCCTCTCAGGAATTACGTACAGCAAGGCCAGGCCCCAGTGAGTAGAGCAGAAGAGGGCCACCTCCCTGTGGGCAGAGAAGCCTGCCACCATCAGGCTGGGGGCCAGCACCAGAGGTCCACAGTGGGGAAACAAGTGGCCAGGACCCCCCAACAACCCCAGGGTGCCTTGGAGCAGCCCGGATACCACCACAGCCCCAGACACCTGGAGGAGCCAAGAAAAGCACAAAGAGGAAGCATTCTGCTCAATGGAGTTGACCTCAGCCTGGACTACTACTACTTTTTTTTTTTTTTTTTTTTAATTTAAATGCAATTAGCCAACATATGGTATATCATTAGTTTTCGATGTCCTGTTCATTGATTCATTAATTGCATATAACACCCATGGCCCATCACATCATGGTCCCTCCTCCTTAATGCCCATCCCCTAGTTACCCCATCCCCCCAATCCCCCACCCATCACCCCTCCTGAAACCCTCAGTTTGTTTCCCAGAGTCAAGAGTCTCTCATGGTTTGTTTCTTCCCATTCAGTTTTCCCTCTATCCCTCTGCTATGGTCCTCCGTGCTATTTCTTGTATTCCACATATGAATGAAACCATATTATCTTTCTCAGCTTGACTTATTTCACTTAGCAGAATCCCCTCGAGTTCCATCCACATCGATGTAAATGGTAGGTATTGGTCCTTTCTGATGTCAACCTGGACTTCTTATTGAATTCCAAATTCCAGATGTGGGTCTCTGCCTCAGCTCCTACCCCAGACCATCTCAGGCCCCACCAACTAGAAACTAGAACCTCCTCCATCCTGGCAACACGGCAGCTCTCCTCTTCCCCACCCCCAGGCACTCACCTCTCTGAGAGAAGTGTTCCAGAGCCCCAGGCCATGGCAGCCAGACCCCCCACACAGGCGCAGCACAAGGGAGGCTGAGAAAAGTGGGGGGCATGGAGAGGAGAGTGTAAGTGGGACAGAACCCCAGTATTCCACCATCCTACCTGGGGCTCGGCACAGCTCCAAGACTCCAGAGCCTAGCCGTTCCCATCACTGCCCACTCCCCATCCTGCACCCACCTACACCTGGAGGCTCCGACTGGCAGCCCACCCCACCCTCACCCCTTGCCCTTGCTCTGTGCTCACAGTTTCCAGGTGTCTGGATGGCCAGAGGTAGCTTCTGGCTGGTCAGCACCAGAGCAGGGACAAGGAACTCTAAGGATGGAGCCTGGACAAGAGGGAGCCTGTAGAAACAGCAGCCCTGGCAGGTCTAGAAAAGCATGGCAGCCCAAAGAACTTCTCAGGCCTCTCCTACACTCACACAAGTACACACACACCTACACACACACACACCTACACACACACACACACACACACACACACACACCCCTCCCCCTTCTCTCCAGGGAGTTCCCCTCACCTGCTGCCTATCCAGACTTGCAGGGTGGTGGATACACCACAGGAAAAGAGGCTGGAGGCCAAGAGCTGGGCAGGGGAGTATGAGAGCTCTCCCGGGAGGAGACTTCGAAGCAGGAGCAGGTGGGAGGCCCAGAGCAGAGAAGCCAGGACCAAGATATGCTGCAGGGGGAGGAATGGGAAGGGTGGTCTTCAGAAAAGGGTTAGAAATACCTATTTCCGGAGGGTTTCTCATGCCACTCCTACTCCCCCCAAATGCCTCTTCAGTCAGAACCAGCTCTTGCACTTCTGCGCCTACCTGCAGAGCCAGAAGACAGCTGAGGCCCCAGGGAGGAGGCCCACACTGAGAGGCCCAAGGGTGAGAGGAGGGATTTTGTACATCAGGTGGCGGCGGCGGCGGCGGCGGCGGCGGCGGCGGCGGCGGCGGTGGTGGCGGCGGCGGCAGCGGCGGCAGCAGCAGGGGAACCGGGGCATTCTGGGGGCCCGTGGACTGGAGTTGGATGGGGTGGGGGGATGATCGGCTCATGCTGCCCTGCTTGCTTCTTGTCTTGGCTGCCCTGGGCCAGAGTTAAGTAGAGAGTGTAAGAGGTCAGAGTTTGGATGAAGCTAGCTGCCTGGCGTGGGGAGGGGTGAAAGGGTCAGTGAAGCGGAGCAAAGGGATGAGGGATTTGGGGCAGGACAGGTCCTTTCACCTTTGCCCAGCTCTTGTACAAATTCCATCACCCATTAACTGGGGAGCCACATTCTGGACCCCTCCCCCCAAGAATCTCCATCTCAATCCAAGCTCTGCAAAGCAGGATAAGGTGGGGGGAGGGGAGGGAAGAAGACTTATAAAATATTCTGGGCAGGTTTTTCACTGGAGGTTTTTTCCACTGGAAACCCTGAAATTTCCAGTGATTTGGAAAGATCACTGCTACCCCAGTTTTCAACCTTTTCGGGGCCCAGCCCCCAGGGCTGCCTGGGAAGGAAACGCATGGGTAATATCCGTCCCCGGTGCATGGCCACAGTGACCACAACTCCAGACCATTTCCACCCCCAACAGGAAGGAGAAATGAAGGTGATTGATGGTAAGTATTTCCTATGTGAAAGCGGGGGGCCCAGATGAACAAGAAGGCGATGGAATCCACTGCCCTCCTGCTATGTACCATCAACCTGGATGCAGCAGCTATGACGCCAACGGATACCGCTGCTTTCCTGGCCACTGGTGTACCACAAGCTGCGCCACGGCGGGTGACCTGATGTTCCAAAATCATGATCCGGCTCTTGGCAAAGTGCTGCACAAAGCAAAGTCCGGTTTTAATTTACATGTAGGTACATTCCTGGCAAATGGAATCTTTCTCAAAATGTGCAAAAACAATTTGGTGTTTGTGTTAAAAAGGTCTAGGTTTTTGGGGCGCCTGGGTGGCTCCGTGGGTTAAGCCTCTGCCTTCGGCTCAGGTCATGATCTCAGGGTCCTGGGATCAAGCCCTGCATTGGGCTCTCTGCTCAACAGGGAGCCTGCTTCCCTCTCTCTCTCTGCCTACCTCTCTGCCTACTTGTGATCTTTCTCGTTGTCAAATAAAATCTTAAAAAATAAATAAAATCTTAAAAATAAATAAAACCTTAAAAAAAAAGGGTCTAGGTTCAGATAAACAGGCTTTTCATATACGTGAGGTCCTGGGGCAGGGGGTCGTTCAAAAGTTGCCTTGGGAATTCTTCGTAAGGGAGGGGCCTGAAGCTTTCCAGGCTGCTCAGCTGAATGCAGGTTGCATCCCTTCAGTCGTTTACCTCCATCAAAAAAAATGCCCCATGTTTTGAGGTAGTTCCCCTAATGGGCAGTACTACCTGTCCTGGACACCCTGTCCAAGGGCCAGAAAGGTTTTCCTTCTTCCAATGATAACCCAGCCTTGGACTTGTCTTAAGAACACCAACTACCACCATGCGTCCAACCAGACTGGAAGTCAGGATAGAGAGAGGTGTCCTTGGAGCTTCCCAAGGACGCTTCCCTTGACCTCTCAGGATCCACCAGGATAGGGAAGCCCCAGAACTTGTGACAGACAGGGCCCCACCTCAGGCATGGTGGAGTCACCGTCTGTGCCCCACAGCAACCAAGTCAAGCAGCACTAGGGGCCCCAGGGTGCTGGGAGCTGGGTTGAGGGTTAAGTTTGAAATGGGAGTCTAATCATCGAACAACAAGGAAGTTCTTTTTTTTTTTTTAAGATTTTAATTTATTTATTTGACAGACAGAGATCACAAGTAGGCAGAGAGGCAGGCAGAGAGAGAGAGGAGGAAGCAGGCTCCCCGATGAGCAGAGAGCCTGAGGCGGGGCACGATCCCAGGACTCTGGGATCATGACCTGAGTCGAAGGCAGAGGCTTTAACCCACTGAGCCACCCAGGCAACTCCCCCCCTTTTTTTTTAAGATTTATTTGGGAGAGAGAATCTCAAGCAGATTCCCCACTGATCATGGAGCCGGACGTGGGGCTCAATCTCATAAGCCTGAGGTCATGACTGAGCCGGACCAAGAGCAGGCTGACAACCCACTGAGCCACCCAGGCGTCTCTCAAACAGGTAAGTTCTAAAATGGGTTTCCGGGAGAATGAATTGCAAGATGACGGGCTCAGGAAGTAGAAAGGCTTAGAATCCAGATATGGGGTGGGGGAGGAGGGATTCTTCCAGGGCTGCGGCAGAATTAAGAATCCAGGCCATGCAACTGACACTGTTTATTGAAATCTCAGTTCTACAAAAGCGTGAAAAACCCAGATACAAAGCAGTGGCCAGAGTGGCCTGTGAAAAGAACACCCAGGAGAAGAACAGGAAGAGAGTGAAGGCCAGGAGGAAGGTAGTAAGAAGAGGCTGGAAGACAAAAGGGTGAGGCTGAAGATGTCAGTAGTCCCTGGTTCCTTTAGGCCACATCCAGGGGATGGGTGTGGAGAGGGTTTCCCACCTCCCCCTGCCTTCCCTTGGCAGATCCCACCTTGGCCCTATCCGTCCCTGGCTCTCCTGCTTCAGGGACATCACACAGGCTGCCAGTCAACATCCCCTCCCTCCCTCACCCCACTTTCCCCTTCCTTCCTAGGGAACTCAACAGCAAGTCTAGAACCCAGGGAGGTAGAGAGATGGGGGCTTCTCTGGCTGGTTGTGACATGGCCCTGGCCCCCAAGCCAAAGCTTCCCCTGGTACCCTCACCACCCTGGGCAAGCAGCCAGCCGCTGAGGTCTAGGAGAGTGAGTGACCTTCAGTCTTTCTGCCCCACAACCCCTTAAGCTCCATCACCTAGAAGGACAGGGACCAGCCGAGGACCCAGAGAGGCGGAGAGGATCTAAATCAAGCTTTGCCCCTCCAGGTTCTCAAGGACTCCCAGATCCTCTTAATGTATTCCTTAGAGGCCTGCCTAGCCTGGGAAAATGAAAGACTTGAGACGGGCTAGCTCCATGACACTGAAGAGGGAACACTGCTGGGGCTGGGGGAGCAGCAGGGGCACTGGGCTCCAGGGCCAGGGTGGAGCCAGGCCATGGGAGTGGTACCCGGCTTTGGGGGGCCCAGTGGGAACTGTATGGTTCACGTGGTGGCAGGCATGGCAGCTTGGGGAGTCTCTCTGCAGCTTCCGGCAAAGGGGACAATTCTGGAGAAGAGCGGAAGGGGAAGGCGGGTCTGGGGGAGGCACTGATGGAGGAGTCAGTGAGGTCAGGAGACTGCCCCACAGTGAATGCAGCCCTGCGTCACCTTCTTGGCCACTGGAGATGTTAATAGGACATGGCAGGCACTGCGGCACGGAAGGTGTGCAGGGTTCCAAGAGGCTCCTGGAGGCCAGTCCAAGGTCTGGAGGGCCTGGTGAGGGGCTGCAGGACAGGCCCAAGGACTGGTGAATTACAGCCACTGAGGCCACTGCCAAGGCCACACTGCTCACATATGCCATGGCCAACAGGCAGGACAGCTGCAGGAAAGTAAGAAGAGTCAGTGCCCAAACACCCTTCCCCCAAAACCTGCTCTGTCTTTAAAGTGCCCACCCCTTACCTTGTCTGCTCAAGTCAGAGCTCTCTTTCACCATCTACTCTCAAACCCCATCTCCTGAGGCCTTCGGCATTTGCTCATCCCGCCCTACACACCAGCCCACACCCGGCCCCTGTCTTTCCCAACGCTCCTCACCTTTGCCAGGCGCTGGCAGAGGGAGCCCAGGGCCAACTGCCAAGCCGGCTGCTCCAGCAGCACACACAGGTCTGTGTAGGTGTACCAGCCCCGCCGCCGCCCCTGCTGCGCAGCCACACTGTGGGCAGGGGAGGAAGACAGAGGGCATCTACACCCCTTCCGCAGCTGGCCCAGTGGTGGCCTCATTCCCCTGGGCAGCCACCAGGACACGCAGAGTAACCTATTACACGTGCACATTCCTAGCCTACCTGTCCATCCAGGAGCTGAGCACGACACTAAGATCTGTATTTAAATAAGCGCCTCCCACCATCCCCAAGGTGATTACAAAGAGGGCAGACAGGTTTAGGAACCACTGCCTTGAGCACTTCTCTTTCCTGTCTCATCCCTCCCCCCTCCAGTTACGCAGACCCCCCCCCCACCGTCGACTTATGATTGAGGTCTAACCCCTCAAATCCCTTGAGCCCCTCTGCCCAACTCTAGAACCTACCAGCTCTCCAGCCAGCTCAGCACCTCAAAGATCTCCCGAGGGTCAGTGTAGAGACGCCAATCCTACGGGTAGGAAGACAAGGGCACCGAGCAAGCTCAGCGATGAGCCGTCACTTAACAACCAGGACCACGGCACCAGCTACAAGCACTGCTCCCGCAGACACTGACTTGGCACTTCCCAGGCACTACACACTGTTCTGAGAGCTTTTATATATTAACTCATTTAACACCACATTATCTGGTTTCACAGGGCATCCTCCGTTAAGGGAAAAGAGAGAAAATAATCCTAAGACTGTGCTGTAGGGAACTCAGAGTCAGGAGGCAGAAGAAGTCTGGATACAAATAATCAGAACCCCATGAGATAAGCTCTGACTCAGAGTGTAACATGTAGGGCCTGAGGAACTGGGGGGCGGCAGCTGCTCCATTTCTGGCCTCACCATGCCAGGAACCTCCAAAGGCTGTGGCTGGTCCAGAAGGGTGGGAAGGGAAGCCACTAATAAGGAAAGACACAAGGAGAAGAGGCAAAAAGAGAAACAAAGAAACTACAGAACGCTGACAGAGAAAAGCAGAGGATGAAAGGAACATAAGAAGAGCTCAGAGGAACTGAGTGAGAGACACAATGGCCACTCACCATGGCACTCAGAAAGCCCCGCTCCAGGGCGTTGAGAGTGGGCACCGCCACACCCCCTGCAGCTCCCCATTCATCGTTGAATACCTCCTCCTCCTCCCCTTCGTCATAGAGGTACTTACTGGCCACCATCTGCAAAGGAACCAGAAGTGGAGTGGAAAGAGCTGGCGCCCAGCTCCCAGCTCACCAGGGAGATGAAGAGGATGGGGCGTCCTACCATGGAGATCAGGAACAAGTCAGAAGATGAAACGTGCTGTAGGTAGTCGGGGTTTCGATGCCGGAGCCGCTCGATGTACACCAGGGCAAGCATCATAGCACATGGGGAGATGCACGCCTCCCTGTGTGATGGAAAGGATCCCTAATTAATCCCAAGGGTCTTTCCACTCTCACCTCTCAGGATGCGCATCCCTGGGTCTTTACATCTTCTCTTTAGGCATAACCATTTCCCTCTCTTTAAGACCCAAACACTCTCATCCCGTCCCCCTCAATTCCAGGCTCACCGGGACACATGAGCTACGTATTTCTTCTGGAGTCGGCGAATCGGGCTGGGGGCCGCCTTCTGGAGCAGTTCCACGGCAATGTCTGCAGGAGGCAGAAGGAAGCCAGAGTAGGCAAACAACTCCTCCCTTACCACCCTGCCACCCCCCAACACACCCAGTTTCCACTGCTATCAGCAGAAAACTCTGATCTGTATGATCTGAGCCTCAGAGACAGGACCACAGTAACAATGTAGATCAAATTCTCCCATGCTGAGACAAAGGGCCCATTCTACATGTGAATTTCAGCTCCTTCCAGCAGGGAGGCTTATTTCTGGATCATCTGAAGAAATTACCTAGATTTGTCTTTTGCCCCACTCATCTGAAAAATAAACACACCCTGTGAATTTGGGATACATATATGTGTCTCATATACAAATCAAGAAGAATATAAATTTGTAAGACAGCACTGTTTTCTACTCATCTAGACTGAAATAATGTGAAATGGAAAGCCAGTCCTTATACCAGGTACCAATAAGTTAGCACTGGCCACACGGTGTAGCTCATGAGGTACACACCTGCCCATTTTGGTGACTGCTGACAAGCCCATCTTCAGGCTTCTCACTTGTCCAATCACGCAACACTAACCTGCCACAGGGCTGGAGAGTTCCTCCAAGCTGCAGTCAGCTTCCCAGTCCCAGCCATAGTACAGTCTCCTTCGGATCCGAGCACTCAGTTTCTGGTGCCCGGGGAGGAACTGAAACGGCAGGTGTTGGAGGATGAAAGGCAGGCAACGATAGAGATCCTGGCTCAGGGTGAAGTGGGGTGCGGGGCAGCAGGCTCACCTCACTGCTAGTGGGGCCCACGCCCTAACCCGCCCCGTTGTTCGGGTTATATGCCAAGGGCAGCCTATCACAAATGGCAGAGAGGAGGGCAGGAATCCTCCGCCACTGACTGCTACGCAGGAGAGTTCCTCCGTGCAGGTCCCGGCTGGCTAACCCTATCTCCATTCCTCTACCCCGCGGCTCTCCCTCGGAGCCCAAGGAGCCGGCGCCTCGAGTAGGCAAGGCTCGAGCGGCTGCCGCCTGGCTTCCGGACCCAGCGGTCAGGCGAGGTGGCAGCCCCACTCGGGTACCCAGGGGAGCGCCCGCGGTCCGAGCTCAAGCACCGACAGGCCGCGGAGGGGGCGGGCCGCCCTCTCACCGTGAAGTCCTGGAAGCCGGTGAGGGAAAAGGTGCCTTCTTCGTCCAGCAGTATCCCGGCCAGGTCCATCGCGCCGCCACTCGCCGCCCTGCGAACGTGGAAGGGGACGCGTGGTGAGGAAGCCGCCGCCGAGCCCTCGCCTGCGCGCCGTGCTCCCCAGCGCAGACCGCCGCCCTTGGCCAGCGCAGCCCCCGGTCCTCGCGCCGGCGGCGGCAGGCGGGGCCGGGCTGGCGGGCGCCTCTTCCTGTTCCGCCCCGGGCGGGGCTCCCGGCTCCGAGATCCGGGCTCCGGGAGCGGGCCTCTGGGGCTCGGGGCGCTCACCTCACCCAGTGCGGAGTAGACCCGGCTGCGAGGCGCGTGCAGCGAGTCTAACCCGCCGCGCGTCGGCCTCGCGTTTACTAGCCGCGGGGGTGTCGCCGGAGACTCAGCGCCCGGCACTTCCTGCCCCCCTGCTGGGCCCAGCCGCCAGCACCGACCCCCACGGACGAGCTGGGCTCGCCTTCCTCCTGGTCGCCCCGAGCCCGGGCGAGTCCCAGAGCTAAGCCCCAGCGTGTCCTCGTCTGGGTAACAGGAACAATTCCCGGAGAACCATGCGAGGATGAACGAGCCCGACTGACCCTTTCGTAGCAAAGCAGATAATAATAAAACCAAAATGCAAGATGAGTGGCTGCTGAATGTTTTGAAAAAGGTACACACACAGAACAATGTACATACAAAACATCGGAAAGAATACAGAAAAAAACAGTGGGTGCACTGTGGTCAAGGTGGCAGAGAAACTTTGCTGTATACCTTCCTTTCACTAGTTTGAATTCTACACCCAATTACGTATTTTGTGGGGTTACTGCAGAAATTAAATGATCACAAGTGATCATAAAGCACCTGGTACGTTGTAAGCCTCAATAAATGGTATTATGCTCCCTCAAATAAACATCTGAACAGGATTCTATTTTTAAACTCACCCCGCAACCCCGATCTCCTGTTTGAGCAAGGGATTGGAAAGAGTTCCAATACGCGCTGGCAGTAAAGTTTACGGAAGGGGATGAGGAGGAAACAACTTTTTTAAGTAGGTGAAGCTGTTTTTGAGTCGGTCGAGTCACGCGCTGGTGTTTCTTTATCCGCTGAGGGGAGGGAACTGGGAGGACCAGTAAATCAAGGGCTGAGTAATGGGACGGCCACCGCCCTTCCCAAGCAGAAGCAGATCCTACCCGCGACACTAGGCATTTGGAAGCCCACTTCCTGCCCCTTCGGTCGGCATCACATCGGGAGTATCGACTCCCTAGGCGCCCTGCCTATACAGGGAGAAGAAAACGGGCCACAGTGCGGAAACGCGGAGATACAGTCCTCCGAGCCCCACCGACGAGAGTGCTGTAACAACCAGACGGAGACTCCCGACTCCAGCAGCCACAACACGCACCTGCGCAGAAGCAGGCGCCCGGGTAGCCTCCAGCGCGCAGGCGCGGACCGCCCCATCCCGGCGGTTAGGGTGCGTCACGTGACGGGCTCCTCGGTCCGCCGTCACGTGACGTGCCTCGGCGGCCTAGGCTGCGCTCTCCGCAGCGTGCGCCCCCTTCCGCCTGACGCGCCCCCGGCGGCGGCCGCGCAGCCCTGGCTCCTCGCGGGCTCGGGCGGCGGCTGCGACGGGGCCATGGCGAGCGGCGGTGGCGGTGGTAACACCGGCGCGGGTGGAGGCCCGGGGTTGGGCCTGAGCCTCGGCCTGGGCCTGGGTCTGAGCCTAGGCATGGGAGAGGCAACCGGCGAGGCGGAGGAGGAGGCGGCCACGGCCGAGGCGGTGGGCCGCCTGGCCACGACGCTGTGGCTGCGGCTCCGCGGCTGGGAGGCGGTGCTGGCGGCAGCGCAGCGGCTGCTGGTGTGGGAGAAACCGCTGCACAGCCTGGTCACGGCGGCCGCTCTCAACGGCCTCTTCTGGTAACGGCCGCGGAGGAGGAGGGGGCGGGGCCGGACAGCGCGGGCGAGCGGGGCGGGAGGGGCCCGGAGCACCATTCACGGTCCCAGGGTTGACACCTGCCCTGGTGGAATGACCCCCTTCCCCCGGCTGTTGTCCTTCAAGGTTGCCCCATTCCTCTATCTCGGGTCTCGAGTTAGGCCTGGAGGTTCCCGTTCCCCCATCAGTGGGCGCTTTTCCGCCTTTGGCGATGGATGCGGGAGCCTCTTACCCACTCACCGCCGAGGTGCCTGTTTCTTCCTAAGGTTGCTGTCTTCGTCGTCCCTCCGGCCCTTCTTCCTACTCAGCGTCTCTCTTTTGGCCTATTTTCTGCTCGATCTCTGGCAGCCTCGCTTCTTCCCTGACATCTCAGGTGAGTGTTAACTTCATTCAGCAAGCCCTATCGTGCACTTGCTTTGTGCCTGACCCCGCTGGATGGGCTGAAAGGGGAAGGAAATTGGACAGCAGGCAGTCAGCTCCCAGGCACCACCACTTCCCCAGTCCCGAAATGGAGAATTTCCCTATTAAATCAGTGTTAAGTGAGTGTAGTAGTTAAAGAGTGTGGACTGTAGAGCTACATTACCTGGGTTCTGTTGCTTGTTCTGCCATTTGCCATGCATGTGACCTTGTAAGAACCACTCAGTTTCTGTTAACCTCAGTTTTCTCTGTTATGAAACAAGGAGGATAAAATTTACTAAACAAGGAGATGAAGACTGAATGAGTTAATACTGTTATGTTTGTGGTAGAGTTTTTCGTGTTACAGGGATCACAGAAGTATTAGGTTCTGTTTTGTTGTTATCCGTGGGTCTACTAAATAGGTGTTCTAGGAGCAATTAGATGTCGGGCTGTGTGAGCTGCTTGGGATGTAAACATGAATAAAACGTGTTTGAAAAGAGTGAAGTTTGGAGTGCTTGACTGGCTCAGTTGGTAGAGCGTGGGACTCTTGATCTTGGGGTTGTAAGTTTGCACCCCATCTTGAGTATAAAGGTTACTTAAAAATAATAAAATATTTGAAGAGAAGAGAGGAGTTTAAAGAAGGAAACAGGGGTGCCTGGGAGGCTCACTGGGTTAAGCCTCTGCCTTCGGCTCAGGTCATGAGGCCAGGGTCCTGGGATCAAGCCCCGCATCGGGCTCTCTGCTCAGCAGGGAGCCTGCTTCCTCCTCTCTCTCTGCCTGCCTCTCTGCTTACTTGTGATCTGTGTCTGTCAAATAAATAAATAAAATCTTGGGGCGCCTGGGTGGCTCAGTGGGTTAAGCCGCTGCCTTCGGCTCAGGTCATGATCTCAGAGTCCTGGGATCGAGCCCCGCATCGGGCTCTCTGCTCAGCAGGAAGCCTGTTTCCTCCCCTCTCTCTGCCTGCCTCTCTGCCTACTTGTGATGTCTCTGTCAAATAAATAAATAAAATCTTTAAAATAAATAAATAAATAAATAAATAAAATCTTAAAAAAAAAAAACAGACATACAAGTACAAACAACCATAACGATGTAATTTTTTCTGCAACTGCCATCTGAAGAAAGTGCTCTGGGAATGCAGAGGAGGGGCAGCTATTCCTGCCCCGGGGAGTGTCTCCCAGAGCCCTACCGCTCAACTAGTTCCCCTCCTCTCTTTATAGCATCATCTCCAGAGGAGCCACACTCTGACAGGTGAGTGCAGGCCACCTCTTGAAGACAAATACCCAAACCTTGTCTTGCTTTGGTGCCAGTGTCACCACGGTGCACAGCAGCTTCTGCAGGCACAGACCCCAGCGTAGCAAATGGACCGGCGACAAGTTTGGTCCTGGGTTCCTGTTTATGTGTTTGGGTGCCTACTCCTTTCCAGGGCAGAGGGTTGGAAACTCTTGGTTTTGCTTCCCCAAGATCAGGACAGCCTCCCTTTGGGAGGTGGGGTTGTCCGCTCGTTCAGAGTGAAGATCTCATTGGCATTCTCAGAGGGATTTGAGTGCCTAGGAAGCTGGTGTCTGAGGCCTCCAGGGGTCATGTCATGTCTCCCCAGTGAGGGTGCGGGGTCAGGCGCCCGGCCGCACCTGCTGAGTGTGCCCGAGTTGTGCAGATACCTGGCTGAGAGCTGGCTCACCTTCCAGATTCACCTGCAGGAGCTGCTGCAGTACAAGAGGCAGAATCCAGCTCAGGTAATCTCCATGCCCTAGAACAGTTTCCTGCACTGTGGGGAAGTGGAGGCGGGTGGGAGGCGGGGAGGGGTAATGTGAAATCCCTGGCTGGACACTGAAGGAAGAGGGCTGGAGCCTTTCTGAGGCAGCATTCACCGGTGGTAGCTTGGTGTAGAAGTAGTCTCATTTCAGGGAAGACGCGTTTGATGTGCTTACACTGTTTCTTGTCAGGGCAGAACAGTTTGCATTTTAGGTTTTGGTGATGTCTAGTGTAAACTTCTCGAACTGGTGGTCTTGGGCATCCTCTTGACTAGACTGGATGCCTGCATCCTGAGAAGGCGTACACCCCTCCTTCTATCAGCTGAGCAGCAGTTTCTTGCCCAGATGAGTAGGGCATATTCCTTTTAGATCCTCTGCTCTTCTCTGCAGTTCTGTGCTCGAGTTTGTTCTGGCTGTGCTGTGCTGGCTGTGCTGGGGCACTATGTTCCGGGGATTATGATTTCCTACATTATCTGTGAGTAGGGTTTAACCCCTGCCTTTCTTGAAGCCCTTTTCTTCTCTCTTACTGGACTGAATCAAAGAGACTGACTCTAAGGGAGGGTGGTGCTCTCTCTCTCTGTTTGGTTATCCATTTACGGAGATCTCCAGGGGGTGCTGGTGTGTTAGTAATAGCGCAAGAGTCATCTGGGGAGGAGAGTAGTAGATGTGGAGGGAAGAGGTTGGTACAGCCTCCAGAAAGCCTTCAGCCTTTTCTTTTTGGGAACCGATTAAATGGGGGCCCTTATGAAATGGACTTCAGGAGCTGTGAGTGAACCCTCTGCCCCCTAGTGCTGAGCATCCTGTTGTGGCCCCTGGTGGTTTACCATGAGCTGATCCAGAGGATGTACACCCGCCTGGAGCCCCTGCTCATGCAGTTGGACTACAGCATGAAGGCAGAAGCTGACGCCCTGCATCACAAACACGATAAGAAGAGTAAGGGGCTCCCATACCCAGGAGGGGTCCTGCGAGGGGGGCGTTGGGGGCATGGCTCATGAAGTGTCCTGGAACTTACTTTCCAGTTTCTGGGCTGTGTTCATCCCCCACCACTGTCTCTGCTTGGTCGCTGACCTGCTGTTCTCGTTTCTCTAGAGCGTCAGGGGAAGAACGCACCCCCCGGAGGTGATGAGCCGCTGGCGGAGACAGAGAGCGAAAGCGAAGCAGAACTGGCCGGCTTCTCCCCGATGGTGAGGTCCAAGGGAGATGGGGTGTCAAATAGAAGGTTGGAGGAGAATCTGCATTGGAGCAGCTTCTCCTCAAGGGGGTGGGAGTCGGTGGCTGGGGGGGTGCTTTTGAAAAATTCTGTCTTTTATCTTTTCACCTGTTGTGTCATTTGGGTCCTCCTGCAGGTGGATGTGAAGAAAACAGCATTGGCTTTGGCCATTACAGACTCAGAGCTGTCAGACGAGGAGGCTTCTATCTTGGAGAGTGGTGGCTTCTCTGTATCCCGGGCCACAACTCCACAGCTAACTGATGTCTCCGAGGGTATGAGAAGCCCTTTGCCCTTCAAATCTTCCTGTTCTTTGTTGTGGTTATTAGCTGTGCTCTCTGGTTGTCACTCCCATAAATGTTTTTTTTCTGGGAACTGATCCTCTGATGTGACTTCAACTTCTAAAAGACTTTAAGATCCAAGGCCTGGTCCAGTATTCCATGTCCTGAGTCTCCTCCTTGAACTAATTGCCTGTTGGGATGGTTCAGAACAGCAGGCCCATCCACCCATTCCTGACCCTTTGTTTCCTGCACAGATTTGGACCAGCAGAGCCTGCCGAGTGAGCCAGAGGAGGCCCTGAGCCGGGAGCTGGGGGAAGGAGAGGAGACAGAGCCAGCCCCTCCTGCTGAAGACCTGCTGGGGCTCCCTCAGGCCCTCTCAAGGCAAGATCTGGACTCGGAGGAGGAGGAGGAAGATGTAGTAGGCGAGGAAACCTTGCTTCGGCTCTCGTCCCCCCTTCACTTTGTGAACACGCACTTCAATGGGGCGGGCTCTCCCACAGATGGGGCGAAGCTCTCCCCTGGAGGACCGGTGGAGACACTGAGCCCGGAGGCAGTGAGTGGTGACCTTACCACTGCACCGAGCACCTTGTCACCCTTACTTTGCCTTGCTGAAAGTGATCCGGTCCCCTCCCCCTCAGTGCTCCCACCTCTTCCCCAGGACTTGCCCCAGCCCCTTCCTGCCCCTGAGGAAGAGGAGGCGCTCACCACTGAGGACTTCGAATTGCTGGATCAGGGGGAGCTGGAACAGCTGAA